GCACCCCCTTCAGGGTGGGGGTCCCCACTGGGGTGCCTGGCCAGTCTGGGTGAGGGGCTGAGGGCTGTTTTCAGGCTGGCGGGTGACTGAAGTTCCCAGCCTCTCTCTTTTTTTTTATTCTGGGATTTATTTACCTTTTATGGCTGTCACTGGAGCTGAGAGCCGGCTTTAGCTCTGAGGCCAGCTCCAGCTTGAGGCCTCGGCTGCTGAAAGCAGATATCTGGGCTTTGTTTAGGTTCTATAATTGAAACACTGTTGCCATCACTGCCGCTCTAAGCTCTGAGCCCACTGCGTTGCCAGCTGAAAGCAGCTATCTGGAGCTTGTTTAGGTTCTATAATTGCAACTTTGTGAACTCAGGAACTCAGAGCTGGGCTGCCGCAGGCCGGGAACCTTGGCTTCCTCCGTCACTGGAGCAAGCAAGCCTCCTCAGCTTCTTGTTTAGGTTCTATAATTGCAACTTTGTTGCATCCAGAACTCAGAGCTGGGCTGCCGCAGGCCGGGAACCTTTGCTTCCGTCACTGGAGTTGCCATCACTGCCGCTCTAAGCTCTGAGCCCACTGCGTTGCCAGCTGAAAGCAGCTATCTGGAGCTTGTTTAGGTTCTATAATTGCAACTTTGTTGCATCCAGAACTCAGAGCTGGGCTGCCGCAGGCCGGGAACCTTGGCTTCCTCCGTCACTGGAGCAAGCAAGCCTCCTGTTTGCTTCAGCTGCTTGGCAGCCGGCAGCCATCTTGGTTGGCAGTTAATTTGCATATCCTGCTGATTAGCCAATGGGAAGGGTGTTGGGGTTATGGTCAATTTGCATGTTTCTCTTTTATTAGATAGGATTATATTATATTAAAAAATAAAAATCAATGAAAAAATGTCCTCGGGTGAGGATTAAAAAAATAAATAAAGTGAAGAGACAGGAGCTTTATGAGAGAAGGAATTAGGCTGTAAATGGAAATGCTCAGCCTGACTAGATTGGGGGTATCTTATTGGGAAGAATTAAGGATAAAAAAATGGGTGATTAGGCAGGGAGTTATTGATAATAGGAACATGTGTTTGATCAGAGAGACACTGATGTTCCTAGACAAGGGAGTAATATAATGAAAGTCATGTGTTTTAGAGATTTGTGTGGTGAAACTGGGGCACCTGGAAGGCCATTGTAACAGAAGCATGAATTAAATGATGTAATGAAGGAAGCAATCACTGATGAATGATGGGCTGGAGAGAAGAAAATGTCAGGTAATCCTTAAGGTTGGAAACTAGATGGAATTGAGAATAGTATCAACATAAATTGAAAAAGTTTAGAATGTGATTCTGGGAAAGGAAGAGAAGTTTTGTTTTGTGTTTCAGGTGACACTAGGTCAGCTATGCAGACACAGCCAGCCAGATATAAAGGACCATGCCTGGATGGTGGCTTGAGATTTTTGTCTTGGGAGAAGGGAAAAGAATGAAGCTTTGGTAGAATTCCACAGAAGAACAAAGAAAACAAATGAGATGGAGAAACAGTTATTTTCTCTTTTTTCAGTTAAGTTTTCTAGTTTAAAAAAGCATAGCCCAGCCCTGACCAGTTTTGCTCCGTGTTTGGAGTGTCGGCCTGCGGACTGAAGGGTCCCAGGATTGATTCCAGTCAAGGACATGTAACTTGGTTGCGGGCACGTCCCCAGTGGGAGGCGTGCAGGAGACAGCTGATCGATGTTTCTCTCTCATCAATGTTTCTGACTCTCTATCCCTCTCCCTCTCTGTAAAAAATCAATTAAAAAAAAAAAAAAGCATAGCCTGGTCTGGCTGGTGTGGCTGTGGCTCAGCAGTTGAGCATCAACCTATGAACCAGGAAGTCACAATTCAATTCTTGGTCATGGCACATCCTGGAGTTGCAGGCTCGATCCCCAGTGTGGGGCGTGCAGGAGGCAGCCAATCAATAACACTCTCTCATCATTGATGTTTCTATCTCTCTCTCCCTCTCCCTTCCTCTCTGA